CCCAAATGCGCACAACCTTGGGCGCCGTCTTGTCGGACTCGTCGCGACAGTCGTCGCCGTCGCCGTTCGGCCGCCGGCAGATGGGCCAGACGTGTCGCGAGCTCGGCCGGTAGAAGGTGGCGTTGTAGGCGGCCGTCATGAGTCGACGAGCCGGCCGCAGAGCCGCCGCCAACAGGTCGGTCAGGGCGTCCATCTCGACGCCGGACAGAGGCCGTTTGTAGAAGGCGACGCGCCGGTACACCGAGATCTCGGTCACATTGTCCAGCGGCCCGACCAGATATTCCACCACCTCGGGCCCGTTTGGCGCGCTCACCACTCCCAACGGCGACGGCGACGTCAACGGCGACGGCGAGGTTTGTGTTTTTGCGTGAATCACAATGGCGCGGGCGTAGCGCGCCAGCCCAACGGCAGGTCTGTCTGGCGCCGTCGTCGCCGTTGAAGTCGACGTCGACGTCGACGTTGACGTTGACGTTGACGCCGACGAGGCGAAGTAGGCGAGACGGAGCCGCTTGTCGGGAATGTGCAGAGTGACCGCCCACAACAGGTCTCTGGCCAACTGATGGCGCCAGTCGCCTTGGCCGTCGGGCTCGTCGAGCCGAACGGCGAGGCGCAACTCGAGAAAGTCGACGATGCGCAGGTACTCCTCTTCACTGGGCTCGTCCAGAGGGCCGAAGTCGCCGTCGACCGCCGGCGTCGACCAGTCGCCGGCCCGGCTGGCCGCCGTCTCGGTCCTCGCCGTTCGGAAGGCCGTCTTCGCCTCCTCCGCGTCCGACTGGCCCGACGGCGAGGTCGACTCGTCTTTGGCCGAAGCGTCTTCACAGCTGCTCATCAGAAGGGCGAGGATGATGACGCAGAGCAGGATGACCGTGAGCAACAGCAGCCTTTGGCGAAAACATGCAAAGGTCAAGGGTGGTGGACTTTTTAGCACCGCCTGCTGCCACATGATACCGTCGACGTCGGTTGCCCACGACTCACGTGGACACTAGTTTCCAATAGTTTCGGAGTCTGTCTTTTCCGGCGCCAGTCGCGCAAACGGCGGTCGAAAAGCGTCATCTTCAGTCACATTTTTCCCTTCGCTGCCGACGTTCACGCTTCGAGGAAACGGATAATCTCCGGTCGGTTTCAGCCGAAAGTGAGTCCACGAAATACACTCAATACGCCCATTTCGCATGCGTCTATGCTACTTTTAATACTACTTTTATTTGAAAATAATATAAAAGCTAATATCCATCCATCTCCTCTGGGTGCCATCCAACTTTTGTCGCTATTATTATTGTAAGAAATGTAAAGATTAATATAATTATAAATG